GTCTGCCCCAAGGAGTGACCATGGCTCCCTTGGTTCAAGCCCCAGGTGTCCTGTTGGCACAGTTGTGTGTCAGTCTCCCCACTGTGTCCTCAGCAGGGCCAGGGGAGCAGGCAGGCGGTGGTGAGACCAGACTCACACACGGTCACGCCCGTCCCCTGATAGCTTTTTGATGCTCAGTAATTGCTTTCTTGCTACAACTCTTTTAAGCAGAGAGCTTCTGGCCAAAGCAATTTGCTCCCCATCAATTTTTATTTCCAGGTTGTTGCATGCGAGGTAGGGGAAGGAAAACAAAGAGGGCGAACGAGAGCAAACTGAGCTGGGACCTGCTCCAGCAGCCCCACACAGATGGAAAGGTGGGAAGGATTCAGCTCCTTGGTGCCAGCAGAGCCATCTTCAGGCAGGCAGGACATGGCAGCCCAGCTCATCCAGACAGCAACTAGTTGTCCTTCCAGTGTGCTTTGCTCACCCCTGCAACTAACCTCAGGCTGCTCATCCTTGCCTGGCAAGTTCGGGGAGATGAAGGCCGTAGTGGGGCTCTGCAGGGCATCCGTGCTGCCCAGAAAGGCTCTTCTTGACTCTTTAAGCTCTTCCCCACTCCTCCTACCATGCTCCCTGAAGCTGCTGTGAGTAGAGTTAATCTCGGGCAGTTTAAGAAGTCGTTGAGTGGGACTCGGCGGATGATGAATGTCGAAACCATTACTGGGGAAGCTCCGTGGAGCTGTTTAAAACTCAAGTCTCCCATGTAAATTTCTGCTCCATCAATCCTGATGACATGTCAAACATTGCTATTGTTTCCCGAACAAATTGGATGACATGCCCTTTCCTGCAGATTTGCCCACAAGAGCAGAACCGTTTGCCAGCTCCTCGCTTATTGTCTCCAGCTCTGCCAGCCTGGGAGCCTGTGGGGAAGGAGAGGTGTGATGGCCCTTGGTGGGACAAAAGGAAGACATCCCCAGTGTTTGTGCCTGGGGGGTGGAGATGCGTGGAGAGCTGGGCCAGGGGGATTTTTGTGCTCCTGTGATTTGTGTGCTGGGTGCCCCTGACGTGCTCCAGCCCAATAAATTAATCTTTTGGGTTATCTGGGCTTCCTCTTCTCACCATTCTCCTGGAGTTTAGCTGTGCAAATGTGGTTTTTTTTAGAAATAGACTACACTGGTGACAGCTCATAAAAGTACAGATGTGGACCTGCGTTTTTATCCTGCCCTTTTGCAGGCTCCAGTGGGCAAATCCTGCTTTAATATTCTGGGCAGGAGAGGAGCAGCCGTTAAATCCATTTGAATGCTTCTCCAGGTGGAACCCCAGGAAACTTCCAGCCAGATGCCTTTCCTCCTCTGGCTGCAGGGATGGATGCATGCGTGCTGGCGGGGGGGCCAACCAGTCCCACTCAGTGAGGCAGGAGAGCTGTGGGAAAACTGCTGTCAACCAAGGATTGTGAAAGGCCCCACAAAGCTTGGTGGGATTTGGGAGCCCTTGGGATTGCTTTGCAAAGGGAGTACGTGTCACCTCCCCAGGGGTTTGAGCATCTGAGCATCGATTTTATCCTTAGAGGGAAAATATTTGGTATACAGGAATGAGTGTAGACCCAAAATTAAATATGCTGAGCGTGCACCATTTTGCTTTTTTGCATATTCCCTGTCACGCTCAAGTAACCTGCTCTGTTGCCCTGCATTATGTCCGTGATGTTCAGTTGCTGGGAAAGCCACCAAGCAGGTATCACCTTCCACCTCCTTGGGTGTAAATCAGGGTAAGTCATTAGCCTGGCTGCTGAGGTGCTCTACAGGGCAGAGTTAAGCTCCCCAGCCCCCTGGCTCCTCATGAGTTGGTCACTTTGCCTTGCTGGCAGTTTTGGTTGGCCCGGCATCACCTCAGCGTGGGGTCCGGCCCACCCTCCTGGCTCAAGTCCCCCAGGGCCTCTCAGCCTCCCATGCTGAGCAGCTTTGTGCTAACCTTCTTTTAACCTTCCTCCTCCCCTGTATTTTTTTTCCTCAGCAGAAGAAAATTACACTTTCCCAGGGTTGTCTGTCACTGCAATAAGCACTTACAAGTGCAATTGTACGGGGCCAAATGAAGGGAATTAGTCTTGCCTGGGCTTTGTGGCACTGTCAGCCCCCCTGTAAATCATTATCTCATCATCAGCCCGTCCAGGCGCTTGGAAAATGCCTTTCTGGGCTCTGCTCTGGCACCAGACACTTAGGGATTAATGGGACCTAGGGGTTCACAGAGGTGATAGGTGCAGAAGTAACAGCTGGCTTGTGTTAGCCATGCTAAGGATGTTCAAGGATTTTGGAGAGAGAGGACCAGGGGCCCTTGTTGGCCAGCCCTGGCCATGCTTTGGGGCTTTGCCACCATGATTCAGAGCCACTTGGGCTGGTGGCAGTAGTTAGGATGGAGGACCACATCATTATCAGTTGGCTGGGGGAGGATGAGGTGGGCAGATGATAGATTAACCCCTCTGCTCCCAGGGTGTTTCCATTCAGTAAAGCAGTCAGGCTCTGGTTGGGGTGGGGCATGTTCATAGGTGTCCTTCGTGGTGCCCTCTAAGGAGCAATATGCCCTCCAGAAGCAGGTTCCACTCACTCAACAGCCACCTCTCTGGGCAGATTTTGGCAGATTTGTTGCATTTTCCTGAACACAATTGCAACGCACACAAAAAGTAAATCACATCTTAGCAGTGGAGAGGAAAATCAGTAGGTCTGAAAGGTTAGGTCCACCAGTGTGCCCTTCAGCTTGTGTAAAGCAGCAGAACTTTGCCAGCTGAACTGAGGAAGCATTTTTGGGGACAAAAATTGAATTAATTCAGGCTGGTTTTCATCCCTTTGCCCCTCTGCCACCCTATTGTGTGGCAGGTAAGTGGTGCACAGGGGTAAAACTTTGATGTTCTCAAGTTCCTGCTCAGCTGTCAAGGATAATCAAGGCCATCAATAAATCAGGAAGGTTTCAGGAACAGGTTGTGTTCCGTACCAGTCCTAAAATACAGCCTTTTGCTAGTATCTGGACATAAAATGTGTCTTTGACCCTGCTTTTTCACAACAGACCTGTTGGTGTCTAAGTAATCCAGACAGGACTCCATTTAGAAAATATACTGGGGGAGAAAAAGGATATTTGTGGGCTTGTATTCCACTTTCCTCACCTAAAAATGAAATTTTCTGCTCCTTTTTCCTGCTGCCACTCATGCATATTTTATATATTCATTAGAGGAAAGACTTTAAAACGTACATAAATCTTGCCTTGCTCATCCAGAGCTGACACACAGTGAGTTTGGCACACCTTCCCCAGAAGATGCTGGTTGCTTGGCCGTGACCAGACCTCTCCAGCTTCAGCAGCTGGCAGCAGTGTACGTGCAGCTCGTTCTGCTGCCAGCAGTGGCTTTGGCTGGGAGCTGGCACTGCACCCTCATGCTGCAGCATCCTGAGGGCAATTGGTCCAACATTGGGCTTGCAGCACATTGCATTCCCAAAAGGGCTGTCCAGCAGGAGCTGCTGGTGGAAAGCAAGGTCTAAATCCCTTTCTTTGCTTTTCCTGCTCTGTATGGATGGGTGTACACTCCACTGGATAAAAATTCAGCTGGATGGCCAGGCCCAGAGCATGGTGGTGAGAGGAGTTAAATCCAGCTGGTGGCTGGTCAGAAGTGGTGTTCCCCAGGGCTCAGTACTAGGGATGGTTCTCTTTAATATCTTTATCAATGATCTGGATGAGGACATCAAGGGCACCCTCAGTAAGTTTGCAGACAACACCAAGTTGGATAGGAGTGTTGATCTGCTGGAGGGTATAGAGGCTTTACAAAGCAGTCTGGACAGGCTGGATTGGTGGGCTGTGGCCAATGGGATGAGGTTTAACAAAGCCAAGTGCCAGGTCCTGCAGTTAGGTCACAGCAAACCCAGGCCAACCACAGCCTTGCTTGGATCAGCACTAGTGTGGCCAGCAGGACTAGGGGAGGAATCATCCCCCTGGACTCAGTACTAGAGGTTGCACTTGGATTCATTTTTAGTCCCCTCACTCCAAGAAGGACATTGAGGGACTGGAGCATGTCCAAAGAAGGGTAATGAAGCCAGTGGAGAGTCTAGAGCACAAGTCTTGTGAGGTGCAGCAGACGGACATGGAGGTGTTGACCCTGGAGGAAAGGAGGCTCAGAGGAGACCTTCTCACTCTGCACAGCTTCCTGATAGGAGATTGGAGCAAGATGGGGGTTGGTCTCTTCTCCCCAGGAACAAGCAATAGTACAAAAGGGAACAGCCTCAAATTGCACTGGGGGAGGTTTAGGTTGGACATTAAGAAAAACGTCTTCCCTGAAAGGGTTGTCAAGTGCTGGAATAGGCTTCCCAAGGCAGTGGTGGAGTCCCCATCCCTGGAGGGATTTCAAAGCTGTGGAGATGTGGTGCTGAGGGACACAGTTCGGTGGTGAGCTGGCAGTGCTGGGTTAACAGTTAGACTTGATGATCTTAAACATCTCCTCCAATCAAAACAATTCTACAATTCTATGTATGTTAGCTTGGGGAGGGGGTGTCAGTTTTGAAGCAGGAGAGGTTTTTATTTCTCTCCCCACAGCTCCAGGCATCCTGCCACCAGCCTGGAATGCACAGTAAGAGCTGTGGATGCCAAGTCTCAGCTTTTTGACTTCACAGGGCCAGGTGAAGTGACCCACAAGGATTGTCCATGGAGACCTTCATCTCACATGTCCTTCCCATATTAGCTTAGAACATCAGGGAAATTACGTGCACGTAAATTTCCCACTGCCCTAAGTTTTAGGAGTGACACTGAGAGATGTTGATGGAGGACTGTGATGTAGAGCAGGCTGTGAGGCAGGGACATGCAGGATAACCTGGCTGAGAGCAGACAGCCCCAGCCCCACGTCACTTGGGTGACAAATGGCACAAGCTCAGTGCAGGTACCAGGCCATTGGCTCATGGGTAGCAGGAGGCAAAGAGGGTGTAATGGATTCTCCAGTGTGTCCAATGTTGCCACAAACACCTTCATTTATTGATTAACTTTTATTTTTTCAGGCAACTGATAACGACGTGGGCACATATGGGAAAGTCAATTATTTTTTCAGTGATGACCCTGACCGGTAAGTGTGAGTGAACCACCCACATGACTCTGACTCTTCCAAATCTCTTCTCATTAAGAAGTCACATGGCAATTTAAGGGCATTTGTTATGTCCTACCTGGGAACATCACTATGTTGTCTTCCAAAGGGGCAAGTTAACACATGCCCTGTGCCCAGCGTGTTCAATTGCTTTGCTGAATGGGAACCTACAGGCACCAGCATTGCTTGGGACCAATAAATGCATTTGCCAGAGAGTTGTTGGCCCTGGAGCATCATGTGTGATAGCTCATGGTAGACAGGTGAGGGATGCATGTGGGCTGCCCAGCAGAAAGGATTTGAGGTCCTCTGAACCCACTTTCTCTGCCTGTAGAGCAGCACTGAGGGTTTCTACCCCAACAATGGCTCTTGAAGGTTCTCTGAGACCTAATATTGCTCAGAAGAAAGCCACAAACTTTACCTGCCATGGTGCTAGCTGTCAGGCTACTGCCACCCCATCTGTCCATCTCCAGTGTGTGGTCACTGGGGCTCTCACCCCTTTTCCTGTCCTCTCAGTTTCTCTCTGGACAAGGACACGGGCATCATCCTCCTGACATCTCGGCTGGACTTTGAGACCACGCAGCGTTACACCTTGACCATCATTGCCAGGGACGGTGGAGGGGAGGAGACAACGGGGCGCGTCCGGATCAACGTCCTCGATGTCAACGACAACGTCCCCACCTTCCAGAAGGAGGCATACCTGGGGGCCCTGCGGGAGAACGAGCCCTCTGTCACCCAGGTGGTCCGGCTCCGGGTGAGGGACCGGAGCAGCTCCTCAGCATGCGTGGTGGGAAGACCATAGCGAGCTGGGTCCTCATCCTCCCCTGCTCCCTTCCTCCCTGTGCCCATCTGAAGAGTAATTTATAGGGCAACTGAGGTGCTGTTGAGTGGTGCATTCCCTCCTCCTCCTCTCTTATAAATCCCATGCCTAGACAGCATCCCCAGGACCTGGGGCTTCTCCCAAGGCACAAGTGTTGTCTCCATATCACCTTGTTCTGCTCAATGAAGTCAGCAGGCACCAAGGGGAAGGTTTGTTGTTGATGGAGCTGTAAGCCTCGTGCTGCCAAGGGAAGATTTTTTTGTTTCTTCAGCACAAGAACAAATTTTGCTATGATGCAAAAGCATGACTTTCCCTCTGTGGGGTCGGGCTGGGTGAGTGCTTCAGGTAGGCAGGAGAGGAGAACCTGGTGAGTCCTCCCTCGGAGGAGAGGCTGGTTTAAAAACCCTTTCAGGACCCTTGATGAATGTTCTTCCTCCACTGGTTTCCCACACTCCTTGAGCTCAGCCTGCACATCCCTCGTCTCTCTCCCATTGCACATCACCAGCAACAGCTCCCCTGCTCACTAACTCCCTCTGCTCGTGCTTTAGGCATCAGATGAGGACTCCCCTCCAAACAACCAGATCACTTACAGCATCGTGCAGGCCTCTGCCTTCCCCGACTACTTTGACATCGTGGTGTCAGAAGGGTACGGAGGTAAGTGCTGGTCCCAAGACCACAGAGCCCTGGACAAGCAGCAGCAGCTCAGGCTGCACTCAAACCCCTGAAAGCAGTTGTGCCAGCAAGCTTTAAGAAGCTGCTCCAGCAGCTCCTCTGCTTGTCCTGACCTCATCAGCAACACAATCCTTTGCAGCAGGACTTGAGCCAAGGATGTGACTGAAAAGCTGCCTGATTAAAAAGAGCTTGGGGGTGGTGGTCAATAGCCAGCTAAAGATGAGCCAGTGTGTGCCCAGGTGGCCAAGAAGGTCAACAGCAGCCTGGCAAACAGCACTAGTGTGGCCAGCAGGACTAGGATAAGAATTATCCCCCTGGACTTGGCACTGGGGAGGCCTCATCTCAAATCATGTTTTCAGTTTTGGGCCCCTCACTCCCAAGGACACTGAGGGACTGGAGCATATCTAAAGAAGGGCAATGAAGCTGGGGAAGGGTCTAGAGCACAAGTCTGTTTGTGAGGAGCAGCTAAGGGACCTGGTGTTGTTGAGCGTGGAGCAAAGGAGGCTCAGGGGAGACCTTCTCACTGTCAACAGCTCCCTGAAAGGAGGTTGGAGCTAGGTAGGAGTCAGTCTCTTCTCCCAGGAAATGAGCAATAGAACAGGAGGAAATGGCCTCAGGTTGCAGCAAGCAAGGTTTAGGTTGGACATCAGGGAAAATTTCTTCCCAAAAGTATTGTCAAGCCCTGGAAGAGGCTGCCTGGGGCAGTGGTGGAGTCCCCATCTCTGGAAGGATTTCAAAGCTATTTAAATGTGGTGCTGAGGTATATGGTTTAGTGGCAACCTGGCAGTGCTGGGTTAATGGTTAGATTTGATGACGGTGCTGAGGTATATGGTTTAGTGGCAAACTGGCAGTGCAGGGTTAATGGTTAGATCTGATGATCATAAAGATATCTTCCAATGAAAAACAGTTCTATGATTTTAAGCTGCTGCAGGGCCCCGTGTCTGTGGGTGTACAGTTCCCTCTGGGTCATGCCAGTGCAAGGAGCTCAGTAATGCCCAACACTTGTGTTTTCAGGGCATTGCCACCTCAAGCAGGTACTATTGGCCCAGGGAGGTGGTGTGGATAGGCCACCTCCCAAGCTTTACCACTGTCCTGTGCAGTGTGTGGGTGCTCTCCTGACCACTCTGCTTTGCATCCTTTCAGTGATCAGTGTGAACCACCCTCTCGACTACGAGCAGGTGGCCAATGGGGTTATTTACCTGACTGTGATGGCCACAGATGCTGGGAACCCACCGCTCAACAGCACCGTCCCCGTCACCATTGAGGTGTTTGTAAGTATGGTGTCCAACAATACTGTCATGGTTGCCCTTCTACTGCTCTGTGGCAGTACCAATAATTCATCAATAATCCAGCAAGGCCCTTCCACCCCATGGCTGACAATTACATGTGTCTCATTACATCTGTCATCTATGTTTCATGTACATATATGTCATCCATGCTGGTTAAAGAAATGCCATCTCTGATAGTTGGTAAGGTCTGAGTGACAGAGGACAAGTGAGTGTCTTCCAGGGGGTGTCACCACAGACAGACACAGATGGGCTGTCCTGACCCCATGCACCTCCTCCCTCTCCTCAGCTGTGCACAATGCAAGGAAGAGCTGCTGGAACTAATGTGGTAGGAGCCCTAGCTGATCACAGAGCAAGGAGCAGAGCTGGGAATGGACTGAAAATCTACTTTCTGCCCATGTTTTTGACTGGGGAGGTTCACTGAGCACCTGGTGAGCCCTTCTCTACTCACAGGGAACTCCTAGCTAGGATGCTTTCGACATATGTAGCCAGAAGTGCTCACTGCAGCTCAGATACAGAGGAAAGGTCTCTGGCTGCACGTTAGCACCTGTAGTGTCAGAAATCATCAGTCCCTGAATCCATTATGGGCAGTTATTTGTTTGTTTCCTCAACACTGGCCTCCCAGGCAGGCTCCAAGCTTTGCTGTGCATCCCACACGCCAGCATAGGTGCAGAACTCCTCGAGGAGACGTTGCTGCTGGGAGAGGTAAAGCATCACAGCATTCCTTGGGAAGATTAGATCAGATTGTCACTTCGAGGCACATTGTGGTTTGAGGATGTCTGGAGGGGAGGTATCAGCGACAGAGACAGCTTGCTTGATAAGCTGTCAGTCTTATGGTGATGAGATCTAAGCCAGGCTGGCGGCAGCGTCAATCTGAGAAGGCGAAGAAGATGAAATCCATGGTGCCATAGGATGAGAGTGAAGTCTCAGGAACATCTCTCTGCTCCACTTTCCTCACTATGCTCAGGAGAGGAGGGATATGACAGTTCCAGCGAGGGGGGGGGGGTTAGTGGCAACTAAATACATCCATCTCACTCTGTGCTTTAGACAGCATAAACACCTCCTTCTAAAGACCACGCTTCAGTGGGTCATCTCCTCCGGGTTGAGTCTGTACACTGGTGGGTTTTAAGTAGCTGTCACTTTTCCCACTCTCAACCAAAGGGCTTTTCTCTCAACTGGAAAAAGGTGGGGGGGGGAAGGCAGCAAATAGGAAGAAAATGAAGAGGAAGCGTTTCACGATGGCACTCGAGGAACAAGAGCCGTGAAAAGGCAAAACGAGAAAGAATGTTGAGGGAGGTGATTTTTTTTCATCCTTTGGTTGTTGGTTTTTAATAAAGAAGTCAAACTCGCCTTGTAGATTTCCCATTAGGGGACAATACGCTTTTGTAGAGGGAGCCACCGAATCAGAACTAATAGCACACGCCACGCCAGGATCCGGGGAAATATCACCACTAATACATTTCTGCCTCGCTCCCTGCGGCTGACACCCCGCTCAGGGCCACAAGCCAGTGACTTGTAGCCTGTATACGTCTGGAAGAAAGGGGCTTGTGAGCATCTGTGTGAACATTTTGCCCAGGGAAGTTGTGGGGACCCCATCCCTGGAGGGATTTAAAAGCTGTGGAGATGTGGTGCTGAGGGATGTGGTTTAGTGGTGACCTGATAGTGCCAGGTTAATGATTGGAGTTGACAATCTTAAAAGTCTCTTCCAACAAAAATGATTCTGTGATTCTGAAAAATTCCATCTGAGATGTGGCAGTTGTTGACATCAATTCTACAAGTCTGTCTGTCAGATGCTATCTTCTCAGCATCCCTGAAGATGATACAATAGCTGTTTGAGGGTGAGGATAGGGGGTGGCAGGAGGGCTGAGAGTCACAGGGATGTGGTAAGCTAGTCCTAGCTAGTTAGCTGGATGCCCTCTCCTGTGGGAACAGAAGAAGTGTGCTGGTAAGGTTTGCAGCAGGAAGCTTTGAAGTGTTGTTGCTGAAGTTGGCAATATCCTTCTCAAGTAGAAAAGCCACGTGCTGCACTGCAGGTAGGTGGAGCTCCAGCCAGATGGAAAGCCAGCCAGGAGGAGCGAGCCCCAGCCTCCCCAGGAGCCAGCTTGCCAGGCCGTGGCAGTGCTGAGCACGGCCCAGTGAACTCAGGACCGCTAACAGAATGGCACGGCATCTGCTCTGGCTTAAGTCCACCCAGCCTGGACCACAGCACAGCTCACCTGGCTCCAGCCATAGGTGGCACGTGGATGTACACCCCGCCTCTTGGTTCCCTTCACCCTCTCCTCCCAGGTCTGCACTAGGGCGATGACCCCAACCCTGCTCTTCAAGAAGGAGGAGGGATGGTGAGGACAGCACCCTAGGCAGCCAGTGTTTTCCTCATTACCCTCAGAGGAGGTGCGGTGAAAGCTGAGTGAGGCAAGGGCTGATTAAAGACCACCTGCTTCCAGCAATGATGGTAATTTAATTGCAGTACGATGGGCATCGTTGGCACGTGAAATTGCCTCAAATATCAAGTTCGGTGGCAGCAGGAGCAGCTGAGCCTGCAGGTCCATCAGCTGTCTCCAGGTAGAAAACGTCTCTAGAGCAGCTCCAGGGAAGCAGCAAAGTCTGTAACGGTGTTTTAATGTCCTGGCTGCTCCATCCTTTCCCTCCATAGGTGGTTGGGTTTGGCTCATTTAAGGCAGGTTCTTAACATTGTTTAAACAGCATTTAAAACTCCCCTTAGGGAGCTTTTAACTAGTCCAAAATCTGTTTTGGGGGATGTTTCAAACTGTTGCTCCTGCCTGGTTTCACCAGGCTGGCCATAGTTGTTGGCAGAGACAGGCTTGGGGGGAGCACATCGGTATGCAAACCAGCTTCCCCCCTGAAAATGCTGTAGCTGTTCTTTCTGCAGACCTCCACTTCAACAAAGGCAGCCAAAGCTTGGCAGGAGCTCCCGTGGCCAGTCCCATTTGCCTGGTGGCCTCATGGCCAGGGTGACCAGGAGCACTAAGCCACCCATGTGGAGGAGCAGGTCTGTACATGATGCTCCCATGATTCATGTGATGTTTGAGTCTTCCCAGGTGTTGCAGTGAAGGGGGGAGCAGCTCAGAGGATGGTAGTGATTCCTCAGACATATTGCTAGGATGCTGGGTAATGGGATATTCAGTAGTGTCCCCACTGCATGGCTCAGCAAAGTCACTGATCATCCATTACCTCCTTCTCAACTGCTTCTGCAGTGAAGCTCAGACCTCTGGTGCCTTACCCGTAAGGCCATATTCCCCACATTGATGCCTTGAGGTGGTCACATCTTGTGATGCAATCATCCAGGACATCACCAAACCAGAATTCTGCAGTCTTTTGACCATTTTGCCTTTTCCTCAACCAGCTTCTCAACTTTCTCTTTGCTTCAGGATGAAAATGACAACCCCCCAACATTCAGCAAGCCTTCCTATGTCATAACCGTCATGGAGGACATCATGGCAGGTATGGAGCACAGCCCTCCTCCTTCTCCAGTCTAGCAAAAGGGCCTTGGGGGTCTTACAGCCAGAACAGGGTGAGTGATGGCTTTTTTGGGAGGCAAAAAACAGAGACCAGTTTCAGGTCTGGGGGTTTGGCTCCACTGTGCATGCAGGCGAGGGGATCCCTTTGCCAAGTGACCTTTAGGAGCAATGTGGGGGAACGAGGCAGCTGGGGAGAGCTGCTCCAGGCTGAGAATGCTTCATCCTACTCCTCAATCATTCCCCCCAAGGAGCCACGGTGCTGTTTCTCAATGCCACGGACATGGACCGGTCCAGGGAGTATGGGCAGGACTCAATCATTTACTCCCTGGAGGGCTCCTCACATTTTCGGATCAACGCTCGCTCAGGTGAGCCTCCATACGTGCTTCCCCTCTTTTCCTTCCAGTTCCATCTTCTGAATTTACCCTGTTTTTCTTGCTATCATTTTTCCCCTTTTACCCTCTGTCCTGGTTCTGTGTAAAAAGGGGTTCAGGGCAGGACCCACACGGAAGAGAACTATGTACTTGCCGCTCCCCCCCTCCGAATGAGAGAGAGAGAGAGAGACACTTTGAAAAAAAAAATGAAGTATATTGTTTAACAAGGAACAGAAAACAAAAAAGGGAGGTAAGGAAAATAATATATACAAAGATTAGGGGAAAATACAAAAAATAAAATATAAAAAAAACGCTCAGAAATGGTTCCAAGGTTCCACAGAGTGAAAGGACAACTTCCCTCTCCAAGCTGCAGGACAGGAGTGAAGTTAGCACCCACTTCCTGCCTCTTATCAGAGTATGTGTTGGAAGGGGAGGGAATACAATGTTTCACCCCCACCCGGGCTCCTCCCAGTTGCTGGAAGGTCACACCCCCTTTCCAAGCCTCAAACCACAACACCCCCAGTACTTCCCCCACCCTTTTCTCCCGAGCATCCTGCTTAGGAAAAACATTATTTAAGGAATTCACTAGATTTCAGCCACCAGCACTTTTTCAGTCACTGTGGGAGCTTTGGCAGAGGCATCAGTGGAATCTCAGCTCCTGATGGGACTGGCATCTGAGAAAAGGCTTAGGTCAGTTAAGGAGCTGCTGCCCACCTTCCCTTGCTGGCATAATTCTTGGTTCATTATGGGCAGGAATATGCATAAGGGATCATAGACAATCATTACACCGGTTCCACGGTCTTCTGCTGACCACTTGCCCAATACAGAATGATATTATCATTAACGGGCAGCCCAGCAGCCAAACTCCTCCCTCTGCTACCACATCACACACTAGCGATCCAAACTGCCAGACAACCAGCAGGAGGAACAAGTCAATGCACTCACCCACCACAGTGGGCGTGAAGAAGGGAGTGAGCTGGGCAAAGAGCCAAGGTGTGAGTGATGGCAGCAGCCAGGGCATGAGCCCAGTTGTATAGTAGAGACTCAGAGACAGCTTCATGTACAAAGAAGGCCAACAGCATCCTGGCCTGGATCAGAAACAGTGTGACCAGCAGGAGCAGGGAGGTGATCATGCCCCTGGAATCAGCACTGGTGAGACCACACCTTGAGCACTGTGTCCAGTTTTGGGCACCACAGGAGGACATGGAGGTGCTGGAGCAGATCCAGAGAAGGGCTACGAGGCTGGTGAGAGGGCTGGAAAACATGCCTTGTGAGGATCAACTGAGGGAACTGGGGTTGTTTAGTTTGGAGAAGAGGAGACTGAGAGGTGACCTTATTGCTCTCTACAGCTACCTAAAAGGAGGTTGTAGTGAGGCAGGTATTGGTCTCTTTTCCCAAATGACTGATGATAGGATGAGAGGTAATGGCCTCAAGTTGTATCAGGGGAGGTTTCAATTTGATATTAGGAAGAATTTCTTCACTGAGAGAGTGGTTAGACACTGGAATGGGCTGCCCAGAGAGGTGGTGGAGTCATCATCCCTGGAGGTGTTCAAAAAATGAGGGGACGTGGCACTTGAGGCTCTGGTCTAGTGGTTAGGGAGATGTTGGGAGGAAGCTTGGACCTGAAGGTCCTTTCCAACCATAGTGATTCTATGATTCTGTGTTCAGGCCCTGCCAACCTGGGAACTCCACTTGCCACAAAGAGTCAGGGAGTCCTGATTCAGCCAGAATCCCCACACAGCACATCCACTGTATGGAAAAACCTCCCAACTCCACTGCCAGAGGAGTGAGCTCTCACAGAGGTGGCTTCTTGCCCTGCCTCCAAGTTAATGAGGAAGGTGTAGTCATCAGTTCCCACCCAAGGCTAGCCAGACGATGGGTGAAAACCAATCAGGAGGGTCTTTTTTGCCTGGTGGTGGACTTCATCCATATGCCAACCTTCATTTAGGGCTGGGGGTTTAACCCCAGCACTTCACCATAGGAAGGTACAATGTGAAGTTTGCAGGAGCTTGCTGACAGGGTCCATCTGTTTGAAAATTAATGAGAAGAAAGGGCCTGTTTGTGAAGGATCAAGTCTCTGGTTTTGAATGTCCCTTTTATTCACTGGTGCCCATATTCACCTCTAATCCCTCTCATCTCCTGTGGCTACAGGAGAAATCACGACGACGTCTTTGCTGGACCGAGAGGCCAAATCCGAATACATTCTCATCGTCCGGGCAGTGGATGGAGGTGTGGGCCACCACCAGAAGACAGGCATTGCCATGGTGAGTGTATGAAGGAGTAACTCCCACCTCCTTGAGCCACCAAAGTGCCCTCCTGGGGCTGGCATCAGGGAGGGTTGCCCAGACACTGACGCTTCAATTCTTGATGCTAGCAGAGTTCAATTTTAGCCGTGTGGGTGGGTAAAGAGCACATGATGGTGTGTGGCCTCTGAGCTGCCCCCTCTGCTGCTCACAACCCTTCAGAATGACTGTTGGGGCTGTGCAGACTTTGAAATCAGGCTCCCATTCCTGGCAAGCCATTCACCCAGGAGCCACTTGACCTTCCAGAGCTTTATGTGTCCAGTTCTCCGTGTGAAGGCATTAATGGGTACCTATTCCACCCACAGCACAGCTCCCTTTGTTTATGCCTCTTGAGAAAATGCTTAGTTGGAGAGCCTGTAGGCACTCTTAGTTGTTCCTGATGAGTACTATTCACATACTGCCTGGATCAAGGGTTTCCAGTGTGATTGTGATGCCTGGGCTTCTCACTTCTAAGCTAGAAGGTTCTGGTGAAGGTGCAGGCCATTGTACTGCAGGTTGAAGCCTACTGCTCTGCTTTGCCCTTCACAGACCTCAGGGAGGCCTGTTGTTTGCAAAGGGTTTCTAAAAGTCTTTGCAAATATTAGCTCAAAAGCCAAGGATCCATCTCTCACTGCTCATGGCACTGTGTTGGTTTGAACGTTTCACAACATTTGGGTGCTCCTGGGACGCTCAGTTGGGTTGCAGGAAGGATGCCCCACACAACAGAAGGTGATGCAGAGAAATATTGTGGTTGTGATGAGGAGATCTCTAAAATAATTGTCACTACTGCTGAGGACCATCAGGAGGGGTATGATCCAGGTGGCAGACTAGAAGCTTCCTGTGGGCCTCCCAAAAGCATGTGGCAGCAGTGGCTTGTTGGATACTGGGCTCCTCACTGAGACTCTAAATAGGATGATGTTATCCTAGTATCTTTACTGAAAGGCAAAACAAGCTTTTTGCAACACAGATTGCAATTAAGAAAAAAAAAGAAAACTTGCATCGTGGTTCCTAAAAAGTTAAAGAATATTAAAACTTGCTGAGAAGCAGGTGGCCTATTTAAATTTGCCTGCTGTCTTTAGCAAGGATATACACCCTGGACTCAAAGCTGTTCCCTATAGTCATTTTTGATCTGGGAATTAGTGTCCATTCAGGGGCTTTGCAAGGTGTCTGAGTGATGGACAGGTACCCGGGATGCTTAGCATAGAGGTGGGTCACCAGCCTTCCCCAGTGACCACTGGGGTGCCTTGGCTTGTGCCTAAGGGCACACCCTTGAAGACTGTGGTTTCCAGATTTGCCTCTTCCACCACGGGGTGGCACCAGCAGCTCAGCCTGATTACTTCGGAGTGCAGAAGACCTCAGGAGAAACACCCTTTGTGGAGGTGGCAGGCACGGGGGTCTCTATCCTCCTTTCCTTTGAACTTCAGCTCTTCCCTCAGGCACCTTTATAGACTTAAAGGCTGCATTGAAAAAGGTGATCTGGGGAGATGAGAGACTCACAGACAACAGGGTGCATCCCACAAGCTCTCTACTGTCACTTAGATGCTTTTTCTCACACCAAAAATGAAGTCAGGTAACACTTCAGAGCACTGTCCTCTCCCATGCTCTCTCCTTTGCAGCTCACAGCCCCTGTTATTGGACCCTCTCCTGATTCCAAAAATGAAGTCAGGTAACACTTCAGGGCACTGCCCTCTCCACCTTTGCAGCTCACAGCCCCTGTTATTGGACCCTCTCCTGATTTCTCACTTCTTCCTTCTCTTTTTTTTTGCTTTTTACCAGTCACTCAATTTTTTGCTTCCTTTTCTGCCACACTCCTGCCACTCCCTCTCCCACACCACCATGACCAATTTGCATCCTCCACTCCAGTGAAGTAGCTGCTTGGAAAGACACCTCATGCCCATGTGGTTGTTCTAACTGCAAGCTAACAAGTACACAGGAGCCAAACCAAGATCAAATATGCCAAGGAGCCTTGGCTGTGAAGATCATAGAATGGTTGGAATTAGAAGAGACCTTAATGATCACCTAGTTCCAAAGCCCCTGGCATGAGCAGGGACACCTCCCACTAGACCAGGTTTCTCAAAGCCCCATCCAACCTGGTCTTGAACACATCCAGTAATGGATCATTCACTACTTCTCTGGGCAACCCTTTCCAGTGTCTCATCACTCTCACAGTGAAGGACTTCTTCCTTACATCTAACCTAAATCCACCCTCTTCCAGCTTGAAACAGTTATTCCTTATCCTATCACTATACTCCCTGATGAAGAGTCCCTCTCTATCTTTCTTACAGGACTCCTTGAAGTACTGGAAGGTCACTACAAGCTCTCTCTGGAGCCTTCTCTTCTCCAGGCTGAACAACCCCAACGAGGGAGGTTGCTTTTCTGAGGGTTTTCCCTATGGAGGGTGAACACCCACTGGGCACCTGGTGCTGCTGTAGATCCAGGAGGACATTGTGCTGCCCCAGGAACCTGGATGACCTGTTGTAGCATTGCTTGTTTGCTCTCTTACAGGTGAACATCACGCTGCTGGACATCAACGACAACTATCCCATGTGGAAGGATGAGCCTTACTTCATCAACCTGGTGGAAATGACTCCCCCCAACTCAGACGTCACCACGGTACGTGGGAGGGAAGGCAGCTACAGCACCAAAAGCCTCTTCCTATCATCCAGTGAGCTTGTCACCAGCTTGGCTGGAGCAGGAAGTCTCCTCCCAACCGGTGTCACCTCCAGTCAAGCACCATCTAACAGAAGTCTATTTAAAAGGTTACTTCTGAGCCTCCTTGCTGCTGCCCAGCCTGCTGTTTCTCCTCTCTGCTGGAATTTTTTGTTTTCTCCTCAGATTGTGTGGGTTTGGGCCAAATTCTCCTTTTCTTAGCCTTGCCTGCGTCTTCCTTCAAGGACCTCTCTGAAAGACATTGATTTACAGCCTTTCAAGTCCCTCTGGTGAAATAAAAGAGAAGGAGAGAGGGAGGCTTGTACTCCATCACCCCAGGAGAAAAATGACGGGCACAAAATGGAAAATAAATGAGGGAAAAGTAAAGAGAATCCACAAAATCCTATAAGGAGGAAGGCGGTGGAAGAAATGGAGTTGGGGAGGTGGGAAGAAAGGTCTGGCAACACAGCCCAAGCCAGTTTTTTCTTTTCTGTGCAGCACCAGCCCCTCTGCTCAGTGCCTGCTTGAAGTCATCTTGCCTTTGATATCCCAGTTAGTTGCTGGGAAAATAATTATTGTGTCACTAATACGATGTAAATTCAGCTGCAGGACAAGCAGCAGGGGCCAGAGAAGTTACGAGTCCAATGAAGTCGAGCTGGTTTTAATGTAAATGTCCCCTGTAATTAAAAATGTCACAGGGAGAGCAATAAAGCACAAAATGTCTGGCGTGGAGAAAAACTCCACCAGTGAATTATTTCCAGCATTTCCGATGCAGCAGCAGAAGTTCCTCCGTGTGCCTCTTGGTCTCATTTATTTTATTTTTCTGAAGGGTTCATGTTTTCTAGCTGATTTTATTTAAGAGGAAAAAAGCCCATTTGATTAGTGGGTGCTTGTGTCTATCGTGCCACGCCATTACCTCCCAGGCTTGCAGGCCAGTTTTGGTGAGATACAACACTGCAGCAGAGGTCTCAAAGGTACAAAATCCCTGCAAGTATCATGAAAATGTACAACTGGGTGGAGGAAGGAGAACTTCTTGCTGCTGTTGGGTATGGGGAAGCCTGTCATGCAAGCTCAGCCTCATTATTAGACAGTGGTGAATCTACACGGGGCTGCACAACTGCTCTGTTTTAATTTTTATCATTCTTCCATGGCAGGTGGTTGCCATCGACCCAGACCTGGGAGAGAATGGAACAGTGGTGTACAGCATCCGACCCCCCAACAAGTTCTACAGCCTCAACAGCACCACGGGCAAGATCCGCACCACCGGTGTCCTCCTGGACCGCGAGAACCCCAACGCCCAGGAGGCCCAGCTCATGAGGAGGATCGTGGTGTCGGTCACCGACTGTAAGCCCTCCTTGTAGCCCACTCTTCTTTGCCATGGTGGTTTGTTCTGCTCCACCATGGCTTGGAATCCCTGGAGCTCAGGCTTTGTGAGCATCGCCTTCCTCACCCCTGGCTCCCCTTCCCTGATGGCTTTCACATATTGAGCTGAACTTTTCTCAGCCTGATTTTTCCATGATGATGAAGCTTTTTCTTTTTCTTGTCTGGAGTATAAGTTGCAAAGACCTTTTTGAGGTTAAAAACTGAGAGTAGGTTAAAACCTGCTGCTAAAACAAACCAGGAACCTTCAAAATGTGAGCACAGTCATTTCTATAGCAGCCCTGACAGTGAGCCTTGGAGGCAGAGACTTCCCCTCTTCTCCATCAGGCTCCATCAGTATCCAGGAAAGTCAATTGAGCAGGTTGGGGGAAAAAAAGAGCTGATCAAGTGAGATGTATTTTTTCTCTGGAAATGGTATCTTAGGGAAACTTTTTTTAGGAAAAAAGATTGGGATAGGAAAATAATTTTCTATTATCTAGCCTGTTTCCAAGAGCTAGAAGGCACATTTAAAGACAGGGAGATGTGGTGCTTAGGGACAAGGTGAACTTGACAGTGCTGGGTTAATGATTGGACTCAATCTTAAGGGTCTTTTCCAACCAAAATGATTCTTATTCTACACAACCTTCCCTCTGCCTCTTTGTATTTCACCTATATCACCTCTATGCTGTGCTAAAGCAATTGTCCTATCTGTCCTGCCAGAAAGACCAAGATAAGCACAGACTGGTTGTGCTCTTGGTTTTCAGCTGCGTGCACAGGTAGTAACAGGGACAGATCAATGCTTTGAGGACAAGCCCCATCCTGCACTACTGTCTGTATAGGGAGGGAGGGCTCCTCTTAGTGGGAAAGGGGTGGAAACACCTTGAGATACTACACCTGAGACACCATTCCTGGCTTCTGCAGGTGGGAGGCCACCCCTGCGAGCCACCAGCAGTGCCACAGTTTTTGTCAACCTGCTGGACCTGAATGACAACGACCCCACTTTCCAAAACCTGCCTTTCGCCGCCGAGATCGCCGAGGGCCTTCCTGAGGGCTCCTCTGTTTTCCAGGTGAGCATGTCCCATTGCCACCATGCCCCACCCTAGGACCTGCTGCTGTCTCTGCCATCACTTCTCCGAAACAGGCAGGCAATACATCCCCTTCCGTCCTCTTCCTCTCCTCCATCCTCTAACTATGCAACTGGGGGGATGCAGAAGAGGTTGTGGTAGCTCCCAGCAGGGGGGATCACCTGAGACCAGGACCTCTGGGGGCAAGGAAATGTCCAGGGTTTATGTACTGTGATTTTCATCATCTGGAGATGATCGGGCTCCCCTGTGCTCACCCCTTCCCTCCACTCTCCCCACCAGGTAGTGGCCATTGACCTGGACGAGGGTCCGAACGGGCAGGTGACGTACCGCATGCAGGTAGGGATGCCCCGCATGGATTTCCTCATCAACAGCACCAGTGGACTCGTCACCTCCACCGCCGTGCTGGACAGGGAGAGGATTGCTGAGTACTACCTGAGAGTGGTGGCCAGCGACGCCGGCGTGCCCTCCAAGAGCTCCACCAGCACCCTGACTGTCAAAGGTGGGTGCGCCCGGCCTCCTTCCAACCCCTGCCCAGCTACAGAGCCCACTCCAGTGCCAAAAAGATGAGTGACAAGGACACCTCACTAAGGAGGGAGATGTGGTTTATATAGGAGACACTGAGACCCTTATTATGCTGTCTGCCTTTAATTTGCTTCATTTCTATTTACTGGCTTCACACAAGCCTAGTTCTGAGAATAAACATCATCTGGAAACAAAGTGATCTTGGGTTCTTCTCAAGCCTGGGTTTGGAAAGTTTCTGGCCCTGTAACTCTAGAGTCCTCTGCAATACACCTGGAAATGCTGAGCTTAAATTAAAACCCCAGGTTTTCCTCTGAATGGGGATGGAAATGAGTAATGCAAGCAGTCACTTTAATTAGAGTTATGTGGAGGGATGATCTGCATCTATCAGAGGCAACCAAACACAACTTGCAACCACAAGGACCAGTCCTTATGGCCAGTCTGCAGGCACCCCTACCACACAGAGCATTCCGTGGGCTGCTCACGGTAGTAGGCAGGTGGTTTTGGGAGCTTGGTGGGCATCAGCCTGGAATCTCCAGGAGGGGCAGCCCTGGGGGGACACTCACCTCTTGTTCCACCTTTCAGTTCTGGATGTGAACGATGAGAACCCCACCTTCTTCCCAGCCATCTACAATGTGTCACTGCCCGAAAATGTGGCCCGGGATTTCAAAGTGGTCCGGCTCAACTGCACGGACGCTGATGTTGGGCTGAACGCTGAGCTCAGCTACTTCATCACAGGTAGGAGCCCCACCCTAAATGCTGCAAAGGGGACTTTGGGCTGTGGAAAGGAGCAGTCTGCCCCAGTCAGGGTGTTCTGTACATCAGTGCTGCCTTTTCCAGCCCCTCCAAACCTTGTACAGTATCGCCCTCTGCTGAAGAGCCTCGCATGGCTCCCCAGCTTGCTGACCACTGTTCCTTGTCCTGCTTGGCTGAACCCTTGTCCCCGAGCATCCCCTGCCTTCTTACACCACCGGGATACAGCTAGGAAAAAAACACGAAGATGGGCTTAAACTCTGTTGGGGTGACATTTGTGTAATGTGGATTTAGGGCTGGAAGCCTCTCTGGAGTTTTAGAGCATCCCGTAGCACAGTGTGCAGCTGGGTTTGGGTGGACAGGGAGCAGAAGAGCAGCAGTGCCACCCAGACAATGCCAGCAGTGTGAGGCTGGGGAGCCCCCTGGCCAAGCTTTGACTTGCAAACTGCACGTGAGGCATTTAGTCCTCAGGAAGAGGGCAAAAATAGAAACGTCACCAGAGAGTAATTTTTCTCACAATAGCATCCTACATGTTTCATCTCATGGTCCCTCCGGCCTCTCCCAGCAAGAGGAAAGGTGTGTGTTGTCCCACAGGTACTGCAGGCCATATGCAAAGTGACCCTAGCTTGCTTCTGAAGAATCCAGGAAATGAGCTGGCATTTATATATATGTATATTACATTTATTTATTTATTATTATTTTATTTTTTTGTAAATATGATACAGCTTTTCCTGTAATCACCACTCCATGTGAAGCAGGCATGGTGTCTGGTGTATTGGAGAGGAGGTGCTCTGCCCACTTATGCTGCAGAGAAGCTTTGCCTACTAAAAATAGGAGCTTGCCCTAAGAGCTATAGATGTCACCTATCTGGACTTCTATAGAAGTCTTTGACTCCAATGTAGGGATTAGGATGTTGTGGGCGATGGAGACATATGGATTTGATGGGTGTACTGTTACATGGATCATTAATTCACTGGATGGTGACAACCAGAGGGTCGTGGGCAATGACTCAGTGTCCAGATGGAGATGGGTGACAACTGGTGGCTCTCAGGAGTCTGTACTGGGACATG